TCTATGCACAGTTTGTTATTATTTTTGAAACATTTAGCTAGATTTGAAATTTTCATTGATGAATTCAGTTGCTCTAATAAAGACCTTGGCTAATAAACCGAAATCATTTGGCGGGATTGATATTTTTTGTACTCTTTAATAAACGAGCGGGAAAGTAGATATGACTGAGTACCAGTTCTGCACCAGACAGATCAGGGCAGATCAGGGCAGATCAGGGCGGATCGCGGATCAGCCCTGGAGATGACGTCATTGCACTAGCCCAAAGCTTGACGTCATAGGATTTAAGAACCAATCAGAAGCCGTTCCGGTAACGATAGCAACTCCGGAGCGATCTCCCCGAATTCCTCCAGATAGCTGGATAGGTCATATCTATTTTTAGAAGTACATCTTTCCAAACTTCTCTCTGGATATCTGAATAGATCATATATATTGTTATACTTTATACTTTTTTTCCAATATTAGATCCATGATTTGATTATAATTTATAATCTATTTCTTTTTTTGTACACTTGATCAGGGTTTCTAAAGTTCTTACTTGTTTCTTATGTATTATTTTTTGTACAAACAAAGAGGCACGCGCCATGATTTCTCTTAATTATTTTAATAATTAAGAGAAATCATGGCGCGTGTCTCTTTGTTAAAACATTCTAGTAAACATATGAAGTTTTAGTCCTCTTTTTTTTATAAAGCTCTGAGTTGCTTGAAGAGAGTAGTCGTGCATCCCGGTCTTGTTTTTATGGAGGGGCATAAACGAAATCTCGCTAAACAGTTTCTAAAGTTTTCTTGAGATTTTCATGTTTGCTCATTCGATGAGCATAATTAATAACACGCCGATCGCTCCTGGCGTCGACTCATAAGTTGTTTTTCGAACTAAGCATGGCCATTCTTTCTCTCTTTCTTTGAACTTGTTTACCAAAGATGAAACACACGCCAAAATCTTTACCGTTAACGAACTCTTCATCAAAAGAAGGAAAAAGGGGGCTAGGTGAATGCGAAATCGTACTGATTTTTGAGGCAAAACATGAAACCGAGGCAAAATGCAGTGGAGCGAGAAATCTATTAAGAAGTCAAAATGACTGGACCGCTTCTCAGTTGAAGGGTAAACAAAGAGATACGACTCGATTATAACAGTTCTTTGTATAGTTTATTCATTTTATAAGTAGAAAAGTATTACAGTGTGCATATTGACAACTAATCAAATGATTTACACGAACGTATGTTTTTAAACAAATTGTCCGGCTTCTACAGTGTTTTCCAACCTAGATCGCTTAACTTTATACATAACACCGCCTTCTACTAATAACAGTTTTCGATTCTTTCCTTTATACACTACGGGTCGGACATCGAGTACTTTCACATTCTTTCGCTTGTTGTTTGCTGTGTTGCTTGTTTTTACGAATTACTCTAGGCTATCGATATTACATTGCTTTTACTGGTCCACAACTGTGGTTAGGGCTTCATTAGCCATATTCTCCTCGGCAATGGCTCGGACTGTGGGTTCGTCTTYGGGTAGTTTTATCCACTTCATGCTACCTGTAGATCGGTGCCTTATCTTGACAGGCCAATAGTTTTTCTCCATCAATGTAGACACCAGGATGGTTTTAGGATCTGCATTGTTACGCGATGTTCTATACATTTCTMTAATATCGTATCCTTCTGGAATAGTTCGGAATGCTGGTGCTCCCGAGATGTAGTTTTGCCACACGGGGAGAGCTGCATTCGACCAGATTATAAAACAATGTGCGAGTTTAGGTTGTTTTCTTTCTGGCTTTGTTTCGGTGCTAAACACTGGTGCTGACTCGACACTACTGCTCACCTTAGTCTTGGTGGAGAAGAGATAAATGTGACGTCACTTGTGTCGGTAAAAGCAAGCATCCGCAATAACAAGAATTAATTACGGTCATTTCTTTGTCATTATTTTTGCCGGGGATATTGCTCCTGTCTGTAATAGCGAGGTGCCCGTAATATATATAGGGTGTCCGCATGGCGAGAGTTGACTGTATTTTTTAGAATGTACAGGAAAACCTTTACCGTCATTATTCAACATTTGAATATTATGTATTAACGGTTTTCGACCAAGTAGCACTTTAAGTCAAAGAATCTATAGAAATGAATAATAACAATAAAAACGCTTACTGCAAAATAAAGTGAGATCTGATAGGGTCACTGGATTTGGAAGGCACGTTTTCTAACACATATTACCATTCGAACGATTGCTCTTGGCTACATGAGTTAGTGACGAACTTTAAAMAAAAAGCTGTCTTGTTTTATGATTAGTTTATTAAGCTACATTTTTGTTTCACTTTGCTTCAAAAACTTTTGGAAATTATTATTCTTTGCATTGAAATAAATGCAATATATATCCTTTTCTTCAGCAATTACAAGCACAACTACTATGATCACACCATCATCCACCACTATTATAAACTCGGTAGACTCCACATCTACTACGATCGCTTCATCACCCACCACTTCTACGATCCCGGTCGTGGACTCTGCATCTACTATGATGGCGGCGTCACCAACCACTACTACTATCGCGCTGGAGTTCACATCTACTACGATAGCGGCGTCACCAACCACTTCTACCATCCAGGTGGACTCCACATCTACTACGATGGCGGCGTCACCCTACATTACTACTATCGCTGTGGACCCCACATCTACTACGATAACGACGTCACCCACCACTGCTACGATCCAGGTGGACTCCACATCTATTACGATGGAGGCGTCAACGACCATTATTACTATCGCGGTGGACTCAACATCTAC